TTGCCTTTCAGCTGGGCAAGGGGACAGAAATTGCAGAAGTAAGTGCTTGGTCTGTAAATGTTCTGTGACAAAGGCTCTCCCCTCCCACTCCAGGGTTACAGCTCAGGCCTGCATGTTGGGCAGACAGGACCATACAGGTGCTCCAGGCAGACAGTTACCTTCAGCAAGAGGATGTCATTTCCCTTCTTAGGACTCGTGAAGTCTGGGTGGCAGTGATACTCTTGGACTTCAAAGGTCTGCCAGCTTTTCTCTCTCCTCTGGATTGTGTGGGCTCCAAGGATGACAGTCAGAGGTTTGTGTCTGGTAAAATCAAGCACGGTGTATGTCATTAGCTTTCTCCTGTCTTCCGTGGTAATGCTGAGGCCCATCTCCCAGGGGCATGGCCAAGAGGGACTGGCTGGGCTTTAAAGAAGAATGGTGGGAGCAAGGAGCTCTGCCAGTGAATCTACCCAGCCGAGAGGCAGAGCAAGTTCCTGTCCGACAGACTGGAGTTCTGCAAGGACTACCTTACCTTTGGACCTTGAGCTGAGCGGATTTGGTTCAATGCTACTGTGTTCTAAGATATGTGGACTGTTGGTCCATGCTTCGTAGGCCCATGGAAGTCCATGGCGCCAAGGAGGGATTTCTAAATCGGGACCCTGCCCTGGGCCAATGTACCTTTACTGGCCTCTACATCATCTGCAGAAGGGTCTGCCTTAGCAAAACTGGGAGGGAGCCTGGGTATGGGTAGGAGTACCTCTCAATCTAGCAGGTGGGACTTGGGCATCTGGGCTCCTGGGTTCTGCTGATCCTCCTTTCCGCTGCTCAGATGTGGCAACTGACCCTCAGCCTGGGTTACTGGCACCAGGGCAGAGCTGTCAGCCCTGAGCAGTGTAGTAGCTACACCCAGAGTCATACACACCTAGAAAAGCCTTCTTGCCTGTCCATGCCCTAGTTTCTCCAGCTGGAGGGAAGGAAGACTGCTGGGCAAGCAGCTTGCTTATAAAAAATGACTAATTCTGATAAGAGTCTTGGAGGTCTTTGGTGGCAGAAAGGGCAAAGCCTGACACCAGTGATCCCTGCTATGCCAGCAGGTCAGTGACAGCAAGGGAAGAAGCTGGTCTGACTTCTCATTGATGATGTCTCAGAAGAACAAAATGAGTCATGGAGGGGGAATAAAAAAATAAAGGTAGGTGTCTGAACATGGGCTGGGGAGGGACATGGGGAAGGACGGTTCATGGGAGAGCTGCAGTCATACCCCTGCTGTTTTGGTGCTAGCCCCCACAGCCTTGCCCTGTCCCAGCAGTGCAGCCTGCGCTCCCTGCTAGGGGAAGAGTTTCACCACAGCCAAATCTCCATCTAGGAGATGTTACCCGGATCACGGCAGTGAGAGAATCTCGTTGTGCCAGGTGCTGTACAAACACGGTAAAAACTTACACAAAGCACTGAGCCGCTGTCATCACCCAGTTCGGGGCTACTAGGAAGCCTCCGCAGAAATGGTTGTTCTTTCCTTGCAGATAGGCTACGTAGGGTGTGGAGTGGGTCTTGGCTTCACCTCCTCTCTCCACCCGATTCCAGGAATAATCTGCAATGGACAGGACCGAGGATGCAGGGATCAGAGGACACAGGGATCAGAGGACACAGGGCACAGAACACGCTGTCTGGGACTCTTCCTTCCCCAGCCCTCTCCTCACCTCCAGGCTGCTCTACTTACTGGCTTTAGCTGGGGGGCATGTCGCCAGCAGGAGGGAGAGCACGAGTTTCTCCAGGTGCTTCATCATAGCGTCCTTGGCTTCAGTGGATCCCTTGGAGGTGAGGCTGCAGCTGGGGTCTCTTCCTGCTCCCAGCAAGGTTTTATAGCCTGAGACTAGACTCCAGGAAACCACAGAAGTCACTCATCTGATTACTCTATCTGCAAATTGCATGCCTCAGCGATCTGAGAGGGGAATTCAGTCAGCCTTAGCCTTGGCCATCAACCCACCTTCATCTTGGGCCTGAGCTGGGGTATCTGACCTCCTTCTAAACCCAGAGTCAATTTTAACCCATTGCCTTTGAGCTGGAAGCTGTAGGGAGCATACTCACCCTCATCACTTTGCTCTTCCCTTGCTGTTGTTGTGCATTTGCAAACTGTCTTGATTTTTATCATGAGCCCTGCAAGAACAAGATTTCTTTCCCCCAGTGTACCAGTTCCAAAGACCGTGCAGTGGCAGCTGAGGACCCTCCTGCTCTTTCTCAGTAGGTGTGGTCCTGGCTAATAGAGCAAAATCGGTGTGAGTGCATTTATAACACCACACTGGTCATGACTACGTGAGGGCAAGAAGTTGCTATGACAGCTTCATGAGCATGGCCCACAGCAGCACGACTGCTGATGCGTTAAGTGTGGATGGAGACAGGAATGCAGATTTGGGATTCTGCCCTTTCACTGGCTATAGATAACCCGATGACATGTCTCCCTGAAGCTGGCCTTGTTGCTCTGGGAAGGGTCATGTCCAAGCGTGTCACAGCCCCCACCCTGGCAGGCAGTGATTTTTAAATGCCAAAGAAGTGCCAGGTGCCTTTCTGCAGCACATGGCAGGGGTCTTCCCTGGACCAGGCACTGCAGCAGCTGCACGTCTTCCTCCTCCAGCCCTTGGAGAGAGGGACCACGCTGGAGGAAGGGCTGGTGACAAATCACTGAACACAGTCCTCCCATCCTCGCCGCCAGGATGGCCCCTTGCCTACCCACTGGCACCAGTGCACAGGCTCCAGCGAAAGGTGAAAGATGGGCATGTCTGTGCACTCGCCCCAGCAGCAGCTCCTTCCTTCAGCTGTGGCAAAATGGGGCCGACACGTCCTTACTGACTGCTGGTAAATTTGCTTTCCTATCTGGCCCCGGTGCTGCAGGGCAAAACCCATTTTTAAGCTAAAAGCTGCTATTCTCGTGCAAAGACTGCAGCAGCTGGAGCTTCCAGGAAAAGCCTGACGTGACACACAGATTTATACTACACAGATAAGCAGTTGCAGCCTTTTCACTTGCAGATTTGCTAAGTGATAGCAGCTCTCAGCAGAAGCCCAAACCATGGATGCTTCTCAGTTTCCCAGGGCTGGGATGTGTGCTAAAGGCAAAGGCGATGTCGTTTTCCTTCGTCCCAGGCAAGAATAGGAAGAAGGTAAGAGCAGACATCCAGGGCCAGAGTGCAGGCTATCTCCCTCCTCTGACAGAGGTGGCTAGTGGGAGCCTCGGAAAGACTATGAGGACAGTGTGTGCATCCTGTTCCCTTGAACTGCATGTGGTTTCTGTATGTTTAAAATTCCCCGCTGGGTTTCCCTGCCACAAACCAGTCCGGTCTCCTCTTGAACTTGCACAGCCATCTGTCACCCTGCAGCAGGGAGTTCTGCGGCTCAGTTATTTACCAATACACTGTATCTGCCCCTCGTCATCTGCTCCAGGAAAGTGTCTAGTACTCTCCTATCTGTATACGAGAAATGTCATCAGAAACTAGGTGGAACAAAGGAGACTAAGGCTCAGACTTTACGCAGGTTGCTTTACACCCAGTGCAGGCCATGGAAGAAGGGGCTGGTGCAAGTTATTCAGACTCTAGTGCAGGGGCTGTTTACAAATGGTGCTAGAGCATCCTTTGTGGGAAGGAGCAGCTCACCTCTGAGCATTACCCAGCTGAGGGAAGAGTTGTAAGCCCTTTTAGTTTTGTGCCACTGCTAGAACAGTCTCTGCTTGAGCTGTACTGCTGGGGCTGGGCTTGCCTTCCTGAGAGGGACAGAAACATGCCAACAAGTTCCAAGGTGGTCAGCTCCCAGCCAGGACTTGCCCTTGTCTTCTCCA